CATTAAAACACCGCTTCTCGTACGATCAGCGAAGTTAAGCAACGTTGGGCCTGGACAGTACCTAAATGGGTGACCGCTTGCAAATAACAGGTGTTTTAAGCTTGGATGTGTAGGTGGTGTAATGGATAACGTATCAGTATTGAAGATCGGAGTTCCAATTCCAGTCGGGTTCGTTATATTAATTTAAGCGCGAATACCTTATGGGAAAAGGTATGAATCTACCTCTTCTTCCCTCAGCTATGGGTTAATTAGTAGCACTTATCAGTTTATCTTCAAAATCTTCTAACAATCTAAAAATATTTCTGGCTTTAAATAATTTGCAAGTGGTTGATATACCGAAAATGAAATCAAGCAATCAACTAGAACATAGGAAGTTTTAAAGAAAATAAAATCTGAAACGAAATGTATACCTACAATTTAACTCTTTCTGCAAAGATTTATCTTTCTTGATGTTAACCTTGTACAAATCCCAAGAGCCACTCAATGTAGAGTGTTACTGAGTAAGTGGTACCAACCGAAACAAGGAGATAATGACACCAAATCGCAAAGGGACATCTGAAATAAAAAAAAAAAGAAGGAAAAGTCTTCAAAAGGAAGTGGAAACCTGTAATCCTAAACAAGAAATAAAAAGGTATACATTTACTCTTGTTCAAAAGACGGGTTAGGTGTGTCAACCGGACAATTGGCGAATCTATTTATTTTGATTGAGGGAAAAAAAGTAAATAAATAGCAAATAAAATTTCAGGATTTTAAGTGGAGACGTTAGAAGAATAGACTTGGAGTAGACTTTAGAAGAAATCTGAAAACCAATCCTAAACAGAAAACAAGAGATAAGCCTGTACAACTGATAAAAAAAAAAAAAACGAGGAGGAGTGTGAAACGGACGGTCGGCGAACCTATCTACTCCTATTGAGAAGAGAAAAACTAATTCATTAATAAATAAAAGTTGAGAGTTTTAGGCGGAGACGTTAGAAATACAGATTTGAAGTAGGTTATAGAAAGAACCTGAAAACCAATCCTAAACAGAAAACAAGAGATGATCGTCTACTCCTGAAGACCGAGGAAGAGTGTGAACCGGACGATGGGAAAACCTATTTTTTTCCTTTACGTTTGTTAGATAAAATCTAAAATCTCTGGGCTGGAGCTATTCAATCATGACCTTCCAGTCTTGATAGAGTTCATAATATTTTGCGGGTTTTTTGGGGAATACCTATTTTCCATTCTGCAGCCTTTTATCCAAAGTCGAAATCCAATCGCTACTGTGCATTTATTTCCATTCATTCACATCTCATTTATCATAACCTTTCTAACGTTAAACCTCTACTTAGAATGATGATCGGATCTTGTATTTGGCAAATTCTAGTAGTGAATATGGTTCTCCCACATCGATGCTATAATGCACTTGACCAGATGAAAAATGCAACAACGTTTTATTTATTGCAGATTGTAAATATTTATCTCGATTATATATTACCATTTTTGACCTTTTGTCTCTTCTAGTTCAGATTCGCAAATCATATGCCTGAAACCGAAATATTAGCCAACTAGTAATTTTTTCCCTTGAAGTAGAGATTTATTACCGTCTGCCATATTGTATCGGAATTGTTCTATTTTTATAAATATAGTTTACAGCCTTCGTTGAAATTTGCCCTTGACATGAGGTCAGCCAAAGGGGTCATGTCCGTCCTTATCAGTAACCATCAGTCATATGGCTACAAGTTGATGCGTCCAAAGGGAACCTATTTACCGACACGATGGCCGTAATCAGCCTGGTCGGACGTTTTTATCCATTGCAGCTGGTGAACTCCATAGCTAAATTATCAGCGATGGTTTTAGCGGAAAGTGCTTATTACAATGGAAGTAATTGGCAGATCGTACAAATGATCTTCTTATTCAGCAGTCTGTTGTTTTTTCTCTTTCTTTTTTTTTTTACTTATTTTTAGACAAATTTGTCCCAAAGAAAGTTATTGTTCTGAATTACTACAACATACGTAGACTAGCTGTCTAGTCGTATTCCAGGACCCCGTTCTACTAGGGCAGCAAGATAAATCCCTATTGCAGACGTTTGCACAGGCGCATTTGTGCTTATTCAACATCCACAGAGCCCACCTGTAGTTTATACTGAAACTATGCTGAGCAGACCTTACAGTTTCTGGGAAAGAGCGTGTTATCTAGCGCGTTCAATAATTTGAACAAGACCAGCACGCTCAAGACCTCGTCTACGATGACTTGTGACCTCGCCTTTGCACAGATGTCGACGGCCCCCAATTTCCGTCTACAAGACTTGGGTCAACCGGTGGTATGGTTTCTAGGAACTTTCCAAAGGTGCCGCATGCTGGGATTAACCCCTCTAGTCCGATTAGATCTGGAAGTCTCCTTCCTGACAAATCGACCATGGTCGAGTCGGGTCTCATGGTCAGAATGCAAACGTTCTAACCATTCAGCCACATGCCCATAAACATACATACATACATACATACATGATGGTTGTCGACTCATTATACGAGTATGATCATCGCTGACAAGTTTGATCAATGTCTTTTGGCGAGAACGACACTAGCTCTTGGAATCTGCAAGTGGCGTACAATTCTTATTGTAGATATGAGTTGTTTTGTACAGAGCCTGGTCTGTTTTGTAAATTCTGTTCAGCTTCCTCATGTGTTTTCCTATAACGGGTTGAGACCAGAACCGTCTCAGTCTACGTATTATAATTTATTAAAGATCTATCAATATGATTCTTCCTGTGGCTAGATATGGAAAGATATGCTGTGTCACATTCATCGCATGTAAATTGATCAATGGCTGGATGAAAGCTTTCCCCTCTCCTAGCTCAGCGTTTGACGTTTGCCCAACTCATTGTATGTTCTTGGAATATCCTTGTGTCATCAGAAATTTTACGCCTCTTCTTCTATAGATCGCAAGCATCACTTTCCATCTCAGGATCGCACAGATGACAGATTCAAGAGACTCTTTTAATCTTCATACTGCATTATGGCCGCCACTTCTATGTAGAGTATGAACATTGTCGCCTCCTACACATGAAAATGTATCCCTTCAACAATGAATACGATTAAAACAAACTGCTACATATATGCATGTATCCTGCTACACACACATATATATATATATATATATATATATATGCAAAAAAAAAAAAAAAAAAAAAAAAAACAACAAAGAACGGGCGAGGTCACTGTGGCAGCTTCTGGTTTTGTAAACCTCAAAGGCAGAAAATAAAGTGATAAAATTTGGTCTCTCTGCCCTTAGAAATCGACGCATTCGCCAGCATAAAAAAATATAAATTTCAAAGAAAAAGATTCTCTATTTCTCAGTAATCTTTTAATTTTCCATCCATTATGGCCGCCACCTCCATGTTGTCGCCTCCAAACCACGAAAACCTATATAAAATTATAATTAAAATAATAAAATTTAATTTCTTGCAGTTGAATTTAGGGACTATTCCGTTTGGATGTGTTTCATTTAAGGGTCTGGATTATGTAAGCTATGCTGGGAATAAGCGTTGACTGTTCTAATGCTCTCTGAACTTGACCAATTATTAAATTAGTGATCTTAAATACTAACTGGGCGTATCTTCTATGAACCGTTTTCTTTTTAGGACGAGGGCGATCATGGCTTTCCACAACTTCCTATTCTTTGCAACTCTTAGTAATATTTGGGTTTTTATCATCACTCACATTCTTCAGTCATACATTAATATAGGCTCGTCAATTATGTGTCCTGTTGATTCTCTTGTGTCTTTCTTTTCTTCGAGATGTTCGGTAGATTTCCAAAGCCTCTTTTTTCTCATAATGTGTCCGAAGAATTCCCGCTGTTTCTTTTTTTTATTCCGAGTAGAAAAGACTTGCCATTTCTGTATTTTCAGTATTCTTCAGTTGCTTCTAGTATCTTCATCTTAGCCGAGTGTTTCACTGACATATAGAAAGACCAATATTACATAACAGTTCAGAACTGTTTTATTTGGTTTTATCAAAATTTTCCAGTACCTTGTGTTTTCTTTAATTTTCGGCAGTCACCATTGCTATTCCTTTGCGCGTTCAGGCTTCGGTCTTACGTTTTCCTTCGCCTGGACAGCGTTTCACAACCGGGGTTCCCCGGTATACTAACTTTCCGCAAAAGGACCCTAATCCTTTCCAGACTTCAGTACTTGCTTGGTTTGGGTATCTCCAATTCATATGTCGTATCTTTGTATTTTTTCCCGACAACCATAATTCTGTTACCTTATAACTGATGTTTAGTCCTTTCTTCTTACTTTCCTTCGCGAGTAAGTCTTGTAATTTTCCCTCTATATCTGACATCAAGTCGATGTATACACTAAAAATATTCTTTATACCTGTATAAAACGTATATTAGTGTTTGAAATTGGATTAGCGGAGGTCAACACCGGGGGGCAACTGTCTTTTTCATACTTGAATGCAATCTTCATGGCTTGAAAGTTGAGATCAAGCTTAAAAAAGTTGCCAATTGGTATTGACCTCAGTACATACGCTTATATCTTAACGCGCTCTATTTCTGATATTAAGCACATTTACTTATATTATAGCATAACTTCAAATTATATTCTTACCATATATATATATATATATATATATATATATATACATAAAGAAAGAACAGTAAGATATATAATCCGGTGTTCTTATTGATAGTTTTTATTTTTATTTTTTACAAAACAATGTATATTTATACAGCAAAAATATTATAACTGATTTAAAATATGTTTTTTTGCTACACAGTAATAGCCATGTTTCAAAAATTGAAGCTAAAAACTTCAAATTTAATTATGTAATGAAATTAAAAGCATTACTTCCGTTTCATCTTCAAGCGAATTTTGGAATGACTTATTTTTAAATTTACTGAGTTTTAAACGCACATATAAATTCATAATTTCCTGTTTCCATGATACAGAGAAATCCAATCATTCAGACAGGGCCGGTAGCGTGTTCATTTTTATTAAATATTTTTGTATCAATTATGAGATATGTTCGACAAAGAGGTTAAGTTTAGGGAGGGAAGGGGTGCATTTTTCAACGAATCCTGACATCCGTTAAACGCATGTCGTCTGTTTTTTTTTGTTTTTTTTTGAACGGCAAAAAATCTTTCGGCATTTTTTTCGTACTTGTATTCTTAAATATTCTATCATGGGTTTTTGGGTTAGAATACGTTTTATTTAACTACAATTTTAAAATAGTTTTACTATTAATTCCTAATAGACTATATTTCTTTTTAAAACATATAAAACTAAAATATTAAACTATATTTCTATTTAAAACAAGTAAATGTAACAGAATTACTATATATATATATCCAAGTATATGATTGTGTATACGGAATAAATTCCAATAACCAACAATTATTATTCTTAAAAGAATATCCAATACAGAGTAGAGCGAATATAATTATTTATTCGAAAATTATAACATAAATATGTTATAAAATTCTTACAAAAATAGCCATTTTGTTTCAAATTTATTATTAAATCAAAAAGAAGTGAATTAACTGTTCACATTTTACCTTACAATTTAGTTAAAATTTGGAATTTACTAATGCTTTTCTTATATTTTAGTTGTATTGCTTGGTATTATCTATGGCTTATCTTTCTGTTTGTAAGATTAAATTCGATTTATATAATTACGTATTAATTTCCTGGTAGTATTAGTAACATCTTGAACAGATATATTAATATTTGGTTGTTATTTTTGACATTTTACATTGATTGGTTAGTGTTGTTAACATCACATATGAAGGATCTTTAACAGTTGCATATTAATTTACCAAATAATTCTATATGTTCAAATTATTTACTAGTTTCTTAAAGAATCCATTTATTTATCAACTACAAAAAAATTATGTAGGAAATTCACAAAGCATATAATTTGTTTAGCATTTTGATAAATTACCACTCAACCCACACTTTTATTTCTTAGGAAACTGCATTGACTGGTATGTATATTTTATGTAATCATTTGTATCCGCTTTAAGTTTATGTATGTTAGCGACCAATCAATGTGTAATGACCAATTTATAAAAAAATAATTTTAATTTTTGCTTCTTCGCTTAGTTTAAATTTCATTTAGGTCATATTTGATTGGTTGTAAAGCCCCCAAACCGTATAACTCCCACATTTTTTTTCGAAAAAAAAAGAGATTATATTTTGCCTTTCAATCTAAATAAATCGTTCCCTCGCCAGTAATTTACAATTGCCTGATGAGATGCATTGATATGCACTGAAACACGACTGCAGTTGTGTAGCGATTTTACATGTTTTCGGCGTAAAATAATAATAATGATGATAATAATAAATATATAAATATAATATATATATATATATATATATGTATTATTTATATATATATTATATATATATATATATATATATATATATATATATATATATATATATATATATATATATATATTTTAAGGTTACCTGAGAATGATACTGCAACAATTGATAGGGACTATCTTTCTATTTTAAATATTTTCCAATGTAATTTAAATATTATCCAATGTAACGTTATAGAATGGTATATTCTTTTAAGAAAAACGATTTTTTACTTAGCTTTGCTCTCAGAAGACAACATTAACTAAATCATCTCCAAGACAAAATCAGATAACCATCGCGCTACAGCAGGCGTCCAGTTTTTCCAAATATATTCCACGTCAAAATATCTGTATACCTGAAAAATCGACAAATCCATGGTGTGTGGACTCTGTCATTTCACAACTAGATCAAAGGCGACTGCTTCGTTCGACGTCATTCCCTGCCTTCAGTCCCGCTACTCAGCTCCAGACTCATATTTTGCTGCCAATGGCGATAAAAGATTGAAATTCAGCTTGGCTAACGATACATCACTTTCAATAAAAGACGTCTCTGTTTTCTATCTCGCCCGTTCGTTGCGAATGCCATCACATGGCCGGTAATTTATCAAAGGGCAGATAATCGAATTTTCGAAAAGCGGGTTGTTGACTGGAACGCGACGAAATATGACCGGGAACTGCAGACGAGTCGAGATTCTCTTCTGTCTTTTATGATGTCGACAGACTTTCATTCTAAAGGTGAAACCCTCTGCGATAGAATCTTCCTGCTTACTTTGTTCTTTTGTCTATAATTATTTACGGGGCAATGCGTCTTTTAGAGAAACCTGACTTTGGGGAAATCATATTTGAATTTCATGATAACTTAAGAAATTCACTCGTTTCTAAATATGAGGTCAATCCAAAATTTCAGGAGAAGAGATTCTGTTCTCTGTGAATGCGTCATATTTGAATGTCAGAAATGCTGCTTAAATATAATAATTTCTATAAATATCCTGATCGTTGAGATCTCAAAGTTTTTCGTCGTATCTTCATCACAATTTTCAAAAAGTTAGTATCTGCATATTTAATTTTATAAAGTAGAAATAAGTAAGTGTAAAAGTTATCAGATTTAAAAATTAAAAAAATATGTATCATTGTTAAAATTACACCTTTATGTGCCAAATCTAGGGGCGTCGTCAGTGTTGTTGCTCCCATGTCACTAGAAGTTTCGTGTCTAAATAAATAACAGACTTCTTCGACCCGACCGAATATGATCAGTATTCGGCCCGCACCCAGATCAAATTTACTACTAGCTTTAGGGCGTGCTTTATATAAGTTCCCTCAGAAAACGGCAACTAATCAAGACTTCACTTGGGCTATTCGATGTTATAGATCAGGTATGCTTGGTTGTACTGATCTTTCTACATACGGTCAAGACAGGGTCTTTTTTGGAAGGAGAAAAGAAAACAAACCAAAAACTATATATACATTATTAAAATAAAAACGATTTATTATATTGGCTCGTCTTACGACTTGATTTTCTTTCTCTTCCTCACATTTTAAATTCTTTATTATGTCTTATTTGTTTGATCTTTCTCTTTTTATAACTTTCCTTTTTATTCTTAACTACGCTTAAAAAATGTTTACATACAATAGCGTGATTAAAATGACTTAAATTATTTACAAAAAAAAAAAACCTCCTAAAATACTGTATGAATAGTTTTTGATTGATACTCTTATAAATTCCGTTTAAAAACTAAGAGAAATAACATTTAACTAAAATTGCTTAAAAATAAATTGATCAAGACATTTACATGTTAAATACTAGTTAAAAAAGAAAAGATAATAACGTGTAAATTTTAGTTAAAATAAGTTACTCCCAAAAACTTAACCTTAACGGAAGAAATTTGTTTACAAAAAAATGCAAAATATTGTAAAAGAAACATTATTTAATACATTGCATCCCGTTTCATTTTCCTCAAATATATATAAATGCGTTTGTTTTTTTTCAACTTATTTCAATGCTAATTAGTGTAGCCAATGGAAGAATCATTTGCTGATTTAAGATATAAATGAAAAAAAAATTGAATGCATCTGCGATAATACAGTTTTTTTTTCAATAAATAGATATCGGGCGACATTGTCTATATTTTGACACTGAAGCCGATACAGACCCAATCATTTAAAAATTAAAAAAAAAAATCACACGGGTGACAATAATCCTGAATAATGAAAAGAAGGTTTATTTTCTAAAAACAAAAATTTGCCACCAATGAAGGAAATGTATGATATATCTTCTCTCCTACACCTGAAAAAGAAACTAGTCAATCTTTAATAAAACTCTCTCTACTTACAAATCAGAAGCCCATCAGGCTGCAAAAGACTATCTCTACTCACAAGTCAGAAGCACATCTTTCCTGGCTGGTGGCTACGTAAACTATTTTTGTAAAAATAGGTTTCAGCAAATTGGCTGTTGAGGTTGACAGGACTAGTTGATCACAGATGAATAATAATTGGGGAAAACACATTAAGGTAGTCGCTTTTTGTAAATGAAAGGCAAAACTGGAATATAGATGGATGATGAAGGGCCAAAGATTACTTAGTGTTAGTTGTGGAGATTCGTTATCGCTGGTGTCATGAATGAACAATGTACATAAAAAAAGAATACTTCTCCATTACTAAGACATTTTCTTACACTTGCCATACTCTCTGCTAGTTTGTCGTTTATATATTTGAAAGGATTTTGTTTTGCTTGGCATCTGCCCAAAATTAAAAATATAAAATGGTGAGAATTTACCCATCGTACCCCGTATATAGGACAGTGGGGTTAATGATCAGATCGGACGGAGAGATGCATGGGTAAAATGCAGGGAAACGGAATGAAATAGGCTACATCTTCACCATTTCTTCTCGGTACATAATTCTATCCGACGCTTGCGTTTTATCTAACATCGATGTATATATCATATTCTACTACATATATACACTTGGGGGCCGTCGATAGCTGTGCTAGCACGAAGTCACAAGTCATCGGGACCGAGGGTTTCAGTATGCTGGCGTTGTTCAGATTGTTAGTCACGCTAGATAACACACTCTTTAGCAGAAACTAGTAGAACGGTAACCTCGAATACAAGTCGCCATATACTACACACACACACACACACACACACACACACACACACACACACATATATATATATATATATATATATATATATATATATATATATATATATATATATAATAAAAAAAGGCTCAAACACTAATATTCCATGGTTATAATTTATTACATTGGATTTACGATTCAATTCATCAGACCTACAAATTCAAAAAGAAATCGGAAAATATAACTCCGGGTATAAAAAATAAAATTTTAGTGAGAGTTTATGTGTGGGAGTGGGAAACAAGTGCGAGAGGGAAATGTATGAAAGCTTTAGAGAGAGGGTGTAACAGAAGAAAGAAGAACAGGAAGGCCTAAAGGTGAAGGTGGGGATTAAAATTTAACAGAGAGATGTTTTAAAGAGAGGAGTTAAATAACGGTTTAAATGAGTGAGATACAGATATATATAAATTATTTATCGATGCATAATTAGCTACCGAATCCCTGATCTAAAGTAAAATTAAAAAACAGACACCGGAAACGTGTGGATACATTTTTGGTGACACTACGCACAATAAAAAACGATTGGATCTAAACTTAAAATCCAGAAGATAAGAGAAAAAGGAAAAAAAAGATGGTGGGAAAACTAAAAACGAAGGGCATTTATAAGAGAACCGATGTGTAATCAAGAAAATTTGACAAAGCAAGTAATATCACCTACATTATTATTACTCTGTCCTGGACATTGAGTTCTACCTGGATTCTATCCTCTTGGAAATTTATATATATATATATATATATATATATATATATATATATATTGACCACTAATATTATCTATCTATCTATCTATCTATCTATCTATCTATCTATATGAAGAAAAATACTCTTAAGGTGTGCTATATTTATGGGATAAAGTGCTCAATATCAGAGATAGAGCGTGTGTAAATATATAAGTGAACATAGAAGTCAACACTTAGAGGCGACAGTCTGTTTCATGCTTGACGCACTCGTCAGGCCTGACGATTGCGTCTAGCATGAAGCAGCCTGTCGCCTCTAAGTGTTGAATTCTATGTTCACTTATATATATATGAGAAGGCATCAGTAAGTTTACAGCCAGTTAGTAGTTAGTAGTTGAATTATGATTAAATTTTTACTGTCTTATGGTTGACCTATAGAATTTTATTCTTTTCCATCACCTTTGTTTTCAATTTGTTTTACTACGTGATTTATTATTTTTTTTCTTTCTTTTCACACTTTCTTTCTATCTTTCTTTTCAGTCTTCCTTTTAACATTTTTATGTTTCCTTAGTTTTAAGTCGTTCTTTCTTTCTTTCTTTCTTTCTTTCTTTCTTTCTTTCTTTTCACTCTTCATTTTCACTCTTTCTTTCTTCCATCCTTTTAACTCTCTCTTTAGTTTCACCATTCCTTTCCACTCTTTCTTTCTTTCTTTCTTTCTTCCTTCCTTCTTTCTTTCTTTCTTTCTTTCTTTTACGTATATTCTTCCTGCCTTACTTCCTTCTTTCTCGTATTTTTTTTCTTTTTCATATATTCTACCTCACCAGAACCATTCGTTCTTTCTTTTCTTCTCATATTTCCTATCTTACTAGCTCCATTCTTTTTCTTTCTTTCTTTTGCCATATAGTCTACCTTTCTGGCTGTATTCCTTCATTCATTCATTCATTCATTCATTCATTCATTCATTCTTTCTTTCTTTCTTTCTTTCACTTGCTAGCTAAGTCTATTAATTCATTCATTGTTTCTATTTTTATTCTCCTTATTAGATTCAGTCATTCATTAGTTCATTCATTTATCCATTCTGTCTATCTTTTTGTCTTTCTTTCTTCCTTTCTTTCTTTCTTTCTTTCTTTCTTTCTTTCTTCCTTTCTTTCCATTCGATAACCTTTTCGTTCTTTCCATATCACACATATACTTCTATATCTCTTATCCATCCATATCTATTTTCTCTTTTATTCTTTTCCCATTTCTTTCTTTGTTTCTTTCTTTCTTTCCCAGAGGGAATTCATTAATACATTTATTTGTTATTTGCTTAATCTATTAATATTCCACATTTCAAACCCCTCCCATCCGACCTGAACCATTCGGGAGATCAATGAAGCGGATCGGAAACAAAAATCCCTTAAGTAATATTATACAGATTCTTAGTTTTTTGTCTTTCATGCAGAAAATCCGATTTCCTCAAGTAGAAAAGAAATTTATTACCATTTTCATTTTGGTTGGAATCTCGATTGAGATTTGTGTGTTATAAGGAAAATGATTTAGGTGCACTTGGCATAAAATTCATGGATGAAACAGACGAATGCAATTGGGAAATGCATGAAATCTTGCGCGAAGAAACAAGAAAAAATAAATTAAAAGCAACGGCATTAACAGTGATAATTAATTTTTATGCATTATTTGTTTCATCTTCTTTTTCTCGCCACTGCTTAATTCAGCGTGCGTGTAGCCGAGTGATAAAGCACGCCGGGTCACGTGGTAGTTTCTCTTACAAAAAGGGACGCAGGTTCGATCCCTGACGGAGAGCACATTATCTTTATTAAGATTTCTCGAATAAGCAGACCGACAGACGTAATATACATCGCTTAAAGTAAAAAAAAAAAAAAAAATAGAACGTGTATTTCATTTACTAGTATCCACTATAAGAACATTTGTAGTATTATGCATATTACTGGTCGCTTGAAGATCACGAGAACGTGAAACTTAAGTAGCAAGTCGAGCTGTCTGTTGTCGAGGCTGTAAAGCATTTGTTTGCTCTGTCTCGATAGCCTAGCCATTGAGCACTTTATTGTTTAGGCAGGAGTTTGCCGTTTGGTCATTTCTTATTTTTTCTTGTGTTAGGTTTTTTTCCTGGGTTTTGGTTTGTTTTCTTTCCTTATTAGTATTCCCCGGGATCACACCAACAGTTTCGATCTTTTATATATATATATATATATATATATATATATATATAATACCTAAAGAGCCAGAACCTATCTACCTATGTTATACCTACCGGATCATAAATGTGACACAGATCTGGTAGGTAAAACCTAGGTGGATAACTTTTGGCTCTTTAGTTATTCTAGTTTTGCTCTACTTAGTGTATTGAGCACTTTTACGTATCACCTTAGGTAACTGTTGTTTTTTTTGTTTTTAGTTAGACATTGCGGTGCTGATTGATTATATTCAAGCAGTATGGATGTTTTTAAGCTTTTCATCTTTTATTGAGTTTTTTTTACTATATAACATTTTGGTTAATATATTTTTATTTACTATTTGCATCATCCGTTTTTCTTTTTACACCACCAGCTTAAAAATAAAAAAAAAACAAAAGCAAAATGATATATATATATATATATATATATATATATATATATATATATATATATATATTTCAGAGATCATGACCAAATGCAGCTTGGGGTTATTTGAACGCGGTATATATTTTTCCCCGCTACTTCCGGTTTGGAAAGTGCTTAAGTTGTTGAGATCCGTGTAGTTGATTTGCTGAACAAACCACCTGAGAAGACCGTAGAGTTCGAAACCACGGTAGTGTGCTCCGGTCAGCTTTCATCCTTTGTAAATATTATAAAACACTGAGAGTGTAAAAATAGGTTTCAATACCAGCAATACATTTTTGTAAAAAAATATTACCATCAATGAAAACCCATTGAGGTTGATATGCCGTAAAACAAAACAAACGAAACCAAACCCAAAAAACAAACTTTTAAATCAGGGATCGAAAATTATGACCCGTTGTATACCTGTAAAAAATTCCTTTTGAGTTCATTTGAAGTTGGACAAAAGAAGAATGTGTGTGTGTATTTCATTTCATCCCCCAGCAATACACATTTGATCTGACTTGCTATACCATTCAGCTACAGAGAAGCGTCTAGTTAGCTTAGTCTAAATTACTGTTTATAACCACACAATCTTCGACGATTTTTCTCGATCGATCATATCTGTAGCTGAATGGTACAGCACGTCAGGTCAAATGACAGTTTCCGTATAGGAATACAGGTTCGATCCTTATCGGAGAACATATATTTTCTACGGAATTTCTCGAACATTCAGGCCGGTAAAGTTAATGCTGCTTAACCCCCGCCCAACATAGCATTTACTTAAATAAATGTACAAAAATAACGTATAAAAAGAAAAATATATTAAATAATTTTCGGATTTAAATTCATTTATATATATATATATATATATATATATATATATATATATATATATATATATAAAGTGAACATAGAAGTCAACACTTAGAGGCGACAGTCTGCTTCATGCTATATGCAATCATCAGGCCTGTTGACTTCTATGTTCACTTTTATATTTACACACGCTCTATCACTGATATCGAGCACTTTATCCCATAAATATAGCACACCTTATAACTATATTCCTTCATATATATATATATATATATATATATATATATATATATATGTACCTTAAAAATCAGGTCAGTTGAATCCGCAACCTTAGTTTCAACCTTGCGCTGTCATCAGGCGATATTTTTTTATCAATATAAAACGTACATACGATGTACGGAAGGTACTTTTAAACGTAGATAGTACAAACGTAGGTCGTCTTTTAAGCTAGCAAATCTTAGGTACTCTACAAAACTAGATAACCATCTGTGGAATTTAAAAGACAAAACAACGGGGATCCATTGATAAGGTGGAAAATTAAAAAAAAATCAAAACCATGAAACAAACACAACCATATTTGTAACCTCTAACAACAGGCAAAATTAGCGTTTATGACACTTCTGCATCCAAAATCTCTTTTAAACCAGAAATCCGAAGTCTTAAGCCCTTGTTTACATATCAGAAAAGTTTTCTTAATTGCCTATGAGGCAGGATTAAAAAAAAACTGTATTTTATCCCCACCCCATTTAAAATACATTTGCTTTTCTTCTCTTACCTCTCCTTCTTTTTCTTCTTTCTTTTTCACACCTTGCTACTCCCATTCCAGTACACCCAACGTCGTGTGTTTATTTATTTTGGGAAATAATAGTGTAGCCTTCTTTAGTTAAAAAAAATGATAATGCTTTAGGTGGTCATTTGATAAAATCGCCTGAGGATGCCGTAAGGTTGAAACCAAGGTAGCGTATTCAACTGAACTCCTAATTTTTATGCTTAAAATCTCTACATGTTATTTTTACTCTTGTTTTTTTTTATTTTTTATTTTTACTCTTTTTTTTTTACACGTGTATTAAACACTTTTTAATACCATTGTTTCCTGGTCTGATCCAAATCTGATCATTAACCTTTTTATATATATATATATATATATATATATATATATATATATATATATACGCACTTATATGGGTAGTTATTGCTGGGTTTATGTCAGATAAAACAATTTGTATCAATGTTTCTAATGTTACTGTAAGATTCAATGTTTTCAAATACACATGCCCGACTCCTGAAAGGGAAACACATGTTAAAATGAAGCAAAACAATATATTAACTTCTCCTGTTGACTCAAGTCATATATGTGGTTATATTTACCCATTGAGAAGGCGTTTTTGCCTGAAATATACATCAAAGGGCTGTTATCTTGAGGTTCGGGCCGCGATAACGATATTTTATTGTTTATAGAGTGTGTGGGAATATATTTATTTTGGGTGGACAGCTGTAATTGAGGTAGAAAACGTTAAACAAGCAAGATAAGGAACATCCTGAATAAAGAAACGATCAGCCCACTCACATAGTTAGAAGAATAGAGGCGTGTGTTCCTGAGTGTGTTCTATGTATAGATATATATCTATAGACATTAGCATATTCACAAAGTTATATACAGGGTCGAGTACATATCTTATATGACTTTTTGCATTTTCGTATCATCAACCTGATATCGAAAGCTGGACCAATTTTTATCTATCTATCTATCTATCTATCTATCTATCTATCTATCTATCTATCTATCTATCTATCTATCAGTTTTTGCCTCATCTATCTATCTATCTATCTATCTATCTATCTATCTAGTTCAATGTATTCATATCTATCTATCTATATTTGCCTTATCTATCTATCTATCTATCTATCTATCTATCTATCTATCTATTTATCTATCTATCGATCTATCTATGTGAGTCCCGTCATAACAGGCTAATCGCGATTACGTGAATGGCGGTAGCAGAGAGAGAGAGAGAGAGAGAGAGGGGGTAGAGGGAGAGAGAGAGGGGGAGAGAGGGAGAAAGAGAGAGAGAGAGAGAGATTATACGGTGTGATTTATACAGAAAAGACTGAGTTTATGAAATAAACATTCATGACCGAACTAAGACTGATTGCTAGCCAGAAATGGATGATCTCCTTTTATGGGCAGATATAAACAGAGTGAAAGAAATATATTTATCAATATCAAGCTGATGAAATCGATAAATGTATAGATGCATAACACACTGAAACACACACGAATGCGCCTTTCATTCCTTGCGGTCTCGCAGCCTTTCATCATTACATGAGGTGCCACTTCCCAGCTAAATACTTTATATATATATATATATATATATATATATATATATATATATATATATATATGCACATTTCATTGAATACGACAAACAAGTTCATTTTAATTAGTTTTTATACAATTTCTCATGCGATCTAATAATTTTTTTCTTTTCAGATCATAAATTATATAAAAACTGTCCAAATGTTCTTTTTATCCGAGCGCTTTCGGCTCTACATTTAGCCATTTTCAAGGATGAAATATTTTAACTGTTAAATAAGAAATAGTTTTTTGCATGTCTGTATTTATAGAATGTTTTCATTTCTCAAAACAAGATATTTTGTCCATGTTCGTTACATACTTGTTGACAACACAAATATAATAGCATCATCTACATGCAAAAAATATTGGAAGCCTTATTAATAAAAACAAAAAAACCAACACTTAATAATATCAACTATGAACATGGACCCAGTATCTTGTTTTGAAAAATGAAAACATTTTATAAGTCATACATACAACAAACTAATTCTTATTTAACAGTTAAAATATTTAATCCTTGAAAATGGCTAAATGTGTAGCTGAAAGCGCTCGGAAAAAAAGCTTTTATATAATTTATCACCTGAAAAGAAAAAAAAATTAGCTCGCATGAGAAATTGTATAAAAATCTAAATAAAAGCACCTTGTCTGTCGTTTTCAATGAAATGTGCATGAAAGAAGGATTGCTGCCTAAATACACACACACACACACACACACACACACACACACACACACACACATATATATATATATATATATATATATATATATATGGATATATATATATTAAATTTGGACAATTCCGACAAATTAATTTTTTTTTTTTATGTTTAACATTCTTTTTATAGATACAAATATTTAAGTAAATGCTCTGTTTATAATAAACAGTATTAAACAACATTTACCGAACGAGTCGGTTAAGGCACGTCAGCGTAAATGACGGTTCCGTATAGGATGCAGGTTCGAATCCTGTCAAAGGACGAATATTTTCTATGAAAATTTCTCGGACATTCAGGCCGGTAAATATTATTTAATACTGTTTATTATAAACAGAGCATTTACTTAAATACTTGTATCTATAAAAAGAATGTTAAACATAAAAAAAAAATGTCTTTAATATATATATATATATATGTGTGTGTGTGTGTGTGAAATGTTGAGACATATGGTGGTATGCAAATCCAATCAATACAATGAAGGAGACAGGGTGTATCTGTCATATATGTTTGGTAGCTATGAAATCAAATGCTGGTCTCAAGTGTCATGGCAGTCATCACCGAAAAGAAACGGAAGTCGTCACAAGCCATGCTTTGGGTAAGTGGTGGGAGCTCTCACCTGAAGAAGATGTGGTAATCACCATTTAGAGATGAAGGTCTCATTAACAGACACTGCACGGCATTGATTGTTTGTGCCAAGACTCTCTATAGTACTATCCTGTCGTTCTTCACTAAAGGTCATGTCATAGTGCATCTCTTGCTCAGAACAGGAAGCCGATCTGAAATCTAGTCGTTCCATTGAAATTGAAGATTTTTAGTATTGGTTTGGGTTTGTGGTATTTCACTGCTCTAATCAGCTTCAGAAATTGAAAGAAAAAATAGACACGAAGAGCTGAAATTAATTGGGCTCGAAAAGTTAATTCTCTTAACTACTCACACATTACGGATAAAGAATAAATTTTATTATCAATATATTTGTTGTTATGATTAGCAATATCATTGAGAAAAATATTAAATTAATTTTATGTGATAAATGATACCAGTCTATATTTCTGAGATAAGGTATTATGTACACTATTTACATTATTCGGACTATTGTCCTCATCTTTGTCGCCATATTTATCACAACGTTTCGGCCGTTGTACACACCGGCCTTCTTCAGGTGGTTGAAATGTCGAACTGAACGCTTTATTTCGCTCACTGGGGTAGATTGTTCTAGTTCCACGTGCCATGTTTAATGGATGTCAGTTATCAGTTATCTCCTGTTAATTTTTTTTCAAATTCACAATCTTAAAATAATTCTCAAATTTTAAAATAATCTTTCTATATTTCTGAGATGTGGTATTATGTACATTATTTACATTATTCGGACTATTGTCCTCATCTTTTTCGTCATATTTATTACAACGTTTCGGTCGTTGTACTCTCCGGCCTTCTTCAGGTAGTTGGAATGTCGAACTGAACCCTTTATTTCGCTCACTGGGGTAGGCTGTTCTAGTTTCACGTGCCATGTTTAATGGATGTCAGTTATCAGTTATCTCCTGTTAATTCCCCTCTCCAAGTTCTCCACTGCCTTAACCGGGTATTGAACTCACACTCTTTAGGTCCTCTCACTGGATCTAACCAATGCGTTTATCCACTGTACGATGTTTCCCTGAGGTTAAGGTAGTCAGCTGAAATTTCTGGGACACGTAATGAGAAAAGAGGGTCTGGAGAATCTGATACTCACAGGTCGAATAGAAGAAGAGACAAAGGAAAGCAACGCGTGACATAGCCGGCGGGCTTAAGAAAGTGGATGGAAGAAAGTGGTCTGGGAGAGTTAGCAGATGGACGAAACTTATTGAGTACTAGAAAGGATAAGGGGAAGTGCAGAGCCAATATCGTCTACGTCCTGAAGGGACATGGCACATGAAAAGACGCTTAGGCGCAGGCATATGGTCAATATCTTGTACATCTCGTTTAAAATATCTAAAAGCTTCCTATGAAATTTATTGAATTTAATTATGGCAATAATTTTACAACGTTTTTAATTAAATGATTTTTCATTAATTTTCTAGTATAAAATATCTCGTTTACTTCTATTTTATGTTTTTAACGTTAAAATTCAATATCATTTTTAAAAATAGCATTTAGAAAAGAACCTACCTCCACATTACTCATACATAATTAAATTTTATTATCAATATATTTGTTATTATGACTACCAATATCATAGGGAAAAATATAAAATCCACAGACAAATATGCAATGCGATAGGTCCTGATCTGGCATCTCCTTTACAGTCGCTTTTTCACAAACATGCCGTGGCTTCCCTCTGTCTCTTCTACAAGTATTTTCACGGCAACTCTTCCGACGAGCTACATTCGCTAGTTCGCTGCATGAATTTAAGCGAGCTATTAACCTGGCATCTCGATCCCACCCTTTCACTGTCGAAAAATGTAACCGTTTCTTCTACTCAAACAGCTTCTTCTTTCACACTTCCCCTCTGTGGAATTTTCTTCCTCTTACTTGCTTCCCTAATAACTATAATCATCAAATATTCAAGTGTAATGTCAATCGACATCTTCTGAAGCCACCAATTTCCCACTTTGTTGAAAAAAAAAAAAAGGCTGTACGCGCTGTTTTATGCATTTTAATATTTGAATTAATTGCCCACTATTAAAACAATTTCAACGAAACAAAAATCATATCGAAACAACACATTCTGGGACAAGAATATGAAAAGAATTAAACAAATAAAAGTAACTTTTTATATTATAGAAATTACATTCAAATTACATTTGTATTTTAGAAATGTAACTATTTGTTTTGTCCGACATATACTTCTTTATGATTATACAAGTACCTAGAAAAAATGTAAATAATCTTCAACAGAATTTATCTGAAAATAGAATATTTGCAGGTAGAGTAAAGGTTATCGGTTCGGAAAGAGAAAATCGTCATGCCGATATCGAATGACAGCCAAGGTCATAAGTGAAATAGCAGGATAGACAGTTTAACACTGAATTTAAGTTTTATAACAGGAAAAATAGTCCTACACTGAATTTCAAAACCGTTGTCTAGGTCTGTAGGTCTGACTTGACCAGTAATGTATAGTCATTGAAATGAATATGGTATTCATAATAATCTTGGGTTGTGGATTCTATGAACTCGACTGAGGGAAAAGCAAATTCTCTTTTAGCCATGTCAGATTGAATAAATTACAAACATTATGTCTGCTTATTTTTATCATAATCCTTTCATATTCACGAATATTTTTCCGTATAGTACAATTGAAAGAGAATTTCTTGCCTCATTCAATTATAATATACGAAGAAATATTCGTCAGTATGATGGGATTATGATAAAAATTATGATAAATAATGTTTGTAATTTATTCAATAAGACACACACGCACACACACACACACACACATATATATATTCAATAATTATATATTAGCAACTGTTGCGTTAGCATGCATACACATATAAGCGAATAAATGTTTAATTAATTTAATATAAGGTGTAAACAAAACAGTGCTCAATGTAGTTAGACAGAGCTATGAAGTATACATCAATAATTCTAGATATACCTATGTTTGTAGTGCAACTTAAAGTTTCATGGTTTTTCCAATTCGTCGGCCACGAACTGTCGAATGAAATCCTTATCACGGTTGTATCACAGCTCATCAGTGTGGCTAGACGTCTGGTTGCCTCTACCCACGATCGATACTCGACTGATTTGGCGTCAGTCGAGGATTCTACCACTAAGCCGTTGGGATGAAGGTGAATATATATATATATATATATATGCACAACAGTTCAAAAGTTTGAAGCCACCCAGGATTAACATCGGATGAAAAAAAATGAAAAAGAGTCAGTGAAAAAAAAATGGAATCAGTTA